ATAAGTATAAACACATCGCAAAATTGACATTCACATCTCAGACTTCAAAGAAGATGTATGTCCATACAACTGTTGCGCAAAGCTTATGAAGACTTTTATACACGCAAGTAGGATCTGGCTTCCCCTATTATCAAGGAACTTCTTTTCAAAAAGGGTATGGATTTGGAGGATTTTTTAGACGATTGTTTCGTACTGCGATGCCGTTCTTTATCAAAGGCGCGAAAACAGTAGGAAAGAAAGCTTTGCGAACCGGAACACATATTGCGAGCGATGTGTTATCGGGGAAAGATTTTGAAACCTCAGCTAAAGAAAGAACTCGGAAGCGAGCAAAACGCTAGCTCAAAGAGCTATAATAAAAGCGCATGACCATGTTAGGCAGCGGAAAACGCAAAAGAAAGCGGAAAATGCCAAAACGTATCATTTCTTCGAAAGCTAGGAAGGTGAAAGGACGTGATATTTTTTTATCCGTAATATACATTTGTATTGAAAGACTCACCCAATGCGTCAAATCGGAACTGAATCTATTTCTGACGTCTCCTACTCAACAGTAGTTGAAAGGAGGCAATGGGTTCAATTTCATCCGTTAGCAATTTAGCGATGGGGTCCTATCGAATTCACATTTCTGGAGGGAAGATTATTTAGATCTATCAGAAACTCATCTGTATGTAAAAGCAAAATTCTCAACTCGGATGGTTCACAACCTGCAAAAAGATGCCAAAGTTGGACCAGTTAATTTATTTCTCCACTCTTTGTTTTCTCAATCGATGTGAAATTAAATGAAAGGCTGATAACGTCTTCAGATAATACATATCCATATCGAGCACTTATAGAAACGTTACTAAATCATGTTATGATACTAAAGTATCGCAATTAACTTCGGAATTATTTTATAAAGATACACCAGGCCATATGAACATTGATGGAAATGAAGATTTAAAAACGAGCTGAATTTTTTTAAACTAAGTGCTGCTCTAGATATGATAGGCAGACTGCATCTGGATTTATTTCATCAAAACGCTTATTACTGAATTTAGTGGATGTCAAATTAAACTTATTCGCAGTAAACCAGAATTTTTCTTAATGCGGAAAATGGTGACTACAAAGTCGCACTTGAACACGTTTCACTTTTCGTGCGTAAAGTTCATGTTAGTCCAGCTGTTTCACTAGGACATGCTAAAGCTTTGGAAAAAGGTTCTGCAAATATCCCATTCAAAGAGTTCTATGCAAGTATTTTCCATTCCTCAAGGCAATATGTCTTTTGTTCAAGATAATGTATTTGTGGGTCAGATGCCCAAACGTATCATTGTGGCTTGTTTAGATAACGATGCCTTAACGGAAATTAATAAAAATCGCCTTTCGAATTTAAGCATTACCATATGAATTTTATAGGGGTTTACCGTGGATGGGCAGCCTTTACCTTATAATCCAGTTGAGCCTAATTTGATCAGACAATTATATTAGAGCATTCCAAAGTTTATTTCTTGAAACTAACAGAGAAGACCGAGGAATTGATATATCCAGAGAAGATTATGCCAAAGGATACACATTTTTGCATTCGATTTAAGTCCAGATTTATGTGATGAGAGCATTTTAATCTTATTCGTACAGCAATTTAAGACTTGAAGTGAAATTTGGTGTTGCTTTGGAACAGACAATATCAGTTCTCGTTTATGCGGAGTTCGAAAGTGTTCTTGGAATAAAGTCCAGGACTGTTTTGTCAGATTTTTAAATGTATGCTTCGGTTATTCAAAAATTTTATCTCAGGACTCACAGACAGCTCCTTTTTTTTCCAAGGTGTGTTTCCATCTGATCGCTTACCTATTATCCATGCTACTCCATCTTGTTTTGTTATGAATACAGATTCTCAAGATAAAGCTGGGAAGCATTGGGTTGCCTGGTTCATCGAGAACAAATCAACAGCCGAATTCTTCGATTCGTATGGGATGCCTCCATCTGTTTATGGTTTTCAAATCAGTAATGTGAAATGGAATAATGTTCCTTTCCAGAGTGTTACTTCAAATGTATGTGGGCATTATTGCATCTATTTTCTGCTTAAACGATGTCAAGGACAATCAATGGAACGTATTATTTCTGATTTATCTCAATGTAAAAACAATGATTTTAGACTATTTCAATTTGTTAAAAAATGATATGGTGTAACAATGAGTTTCAAAAAATAAATTCAATTAATAGCAAAAATGATCTATTTTTATTCTGCAAATCAGATTCTATGTATAAATTTATATATCAGATTATCATATTATGTTATTAATGATTTTTTGTTCTTCTCTATCATTTCAACTTTTCTTAGAAATGTTTCCTGTTTTTATTCTGTTTGTTTCATGAACATAGCATTCTTCTTCTCCCGGGTAGATATAAAAGTGAAATGATATGCTGCTTCTACTTCATTCTAACTGGAATAATTTATATTAACAGACGTTTCTTTTTATTATTTCTTTGGTTACCCAACAATTTCAAGAATCATTTTAACAAAGTGTGTTTTTCGAATTGTACATCTCATAAATTCTGCTAAATATTTTACTCTGAAAGCTTAGAAGTACAAAATTTTTTTTATATATAATAATTTACAGCTCATTGAAATGATGTGTAAGGAAATTTTCCCGATACATAAATACTGTGTACTTTTTATCACCTTTTCTTATGCATATGGAAGTATCGTGTTACATTTTATTCATTACCCGTCAAATGAAAATGTTGGAAGTTTAGATGCCAATTTTAAAATCAATCAAACCTCTTTAAACCTGTATCACATTTATCAAAGTATAGACCATATTGGCTACATTAAATGTCAAAAATTCCATTATTTTAAAGAAACCTTTCCAGACTGTGGTCATTGATTTATGTAATTGTGTACAACAATCTTATGAAGTTTTTCATTACTACTGTTTTACCTACGCCAAAGGCATCGTGGATTCTAAGAGTGAATGTGATGTTGTAGCTAAAACATTTCTGGGGTGTAAGAAAATTATTTGCAGTGAAGAAAGGTAATCAACTCATTTATAAGTGATAAAAGAACTTTGATGCAGCATAAAATCTTGTATTTTAACATTTTGTACAAAATTAGAATTAAAAAAAAAAATTGTGTTTTTTAAGAATATCTGTGTACTGAAAGAATAAGAAATCTAAATTTTACACTAATAAAATGTACATGTTGTTTTCTGACTGAAAGCTGTTCTCTTTTAAAATTCTAATTTCATTAACATGTTACATTCTTAGATAATAAAGCTTTTTTTAATAAAGAGAAAAAAATAATACCATTGAAAGTAAAAGGAAAAACATTTATTAGTACGTCAATCAGGTTACATTTCTGCGTGCTAACATCCGTTTTGGAAATACAGGAGACAATTTTCTGTTAACTTTTTTTTCGTTGCGGTAGTGAACGTTTTGATAACAGGTATTTATTTTTGATGAAAGAAGTAGGTATACCAAGTTCAGTTAAAGTTCGATGAAATATATCTTGACCTTTAGGATGATTTTTATTATTTTCTAAAAGGTTAGCCACTAATTCTGCTATATGAGTGTTATGTATAGTATCTCCTCTGTATATTAATTCACCTTTCGCATTCCATGAGATTGTCGATGAATGATTTCTTACGAAATTCAGAATGTCTTCAGCAGTGCGTTTGAATTTTTCGGGCACATTTTGAAGTATAAGACGTTCCAAAGAATTGGTGTTATGCTTTACATTCACTTCAGTCTCAGCTTGATTGCTTCTTTTCCCTCGTCTTTAGGCTTTATATCTGTGGGGAATGGGTAATGTACATATTTTTGCGAAATTTGAAGATAAATTGTGGATTTTTCATTTTCTGATAAATCTTTTCTTCTCAAGGTTTTATCCATATCACTTAAATCTCCAATAAATCATGATCTCCAATAAACTTATTCAGTCTATCTTCTGGTACAAGAACCATTTTTCTAGCGTGCTCCATTGGATGAGTGTATTTAACACTGAAACTGCTGCTCGAATGAGGAAACTAAGAAATCCTTCTCCTTTTTGAACTAATACTCGTCTTTTTTTTTATATAAATGTGTTTTCTTATCAGCAAGACTTCTTAAAATTCTTTTAAATGGTCTAAGTTTCTTTTTCCTAACACTACTTAAGGGTACATTACCTTTTAAAACATTTTGTGCACATTCGCAAACAGCTTTAATTAAACTATTAGGAGCTTTTGGTAAAATGGAACACTTTGTCCCTCTTTTTCCCCAACAGCTTCAGATGCTGCAAATGTTGTTGTGCACAATTTGACATGTTAACGGTTTCTGAAATTCATTTACATCATTAAGTCATTTTTATTTAGAAAAGAAACATGCGTATGCAGTAGCTTTTACAACTGCGCAATGTGGATAATAAGGCTTATGAAAAACGCACTTCACATTTGGCTTCGAAATCTCGCTAATTTTAGGACACAAGTCATCTAAGTTATAAATACTACGGACTTGAAATAAGTATTCAAAAAAATTTTGCTTTTTCTAGACCTTTAGTATAAATTTTAGGATACATATCAAAAAGGAAACTCAGTATAGTTCTTAGCTTTGAATAAGGCAACTCACCGCTGTCCCATGTAGGTGATGCATATTCCTTGTGACCCAAGAAATTTGTTTTCTTTCTTTAGCAGAAAGCTCTTGTGAAGGTTTAGGTGGAAAGGAAAGTCCAGCAGCCATGGGAACCATCGTAAACAGAAAAAAAAAAAAAAAAAAAAAAAAAAAAAACGAAAGCTCTTTTATAACATAACAGTTAGGCTTTAACTGAAAGCCTTCGAAATCAAATCACAACAGCCATCTAGAAGCGTAAAACGTTTAAGTGATTTAGCGCGGTACGTAGGCGTAATATATATCGTCTGGAAAGATACCAGTGCGCAGTCTCAAATCGTCCTTTGTTTGAGGCATTAAGTCGATTAGCAAATAACTATAAGGCTTAAGAGTGGCATCGCAATACACTTCCTGGAAAAAATTTGGCCCGACCTGGATATAACTGACGCCCCAAATGAGAGATTTGGCTAACATCTCTCGGATTTTTAAATAAAACAATGTAATGTGCATTTAAAGATATTTCACGCATTTCCTTACCCTTAAGAAATAAATTTTTCGTGATAAAAATTACAGAAATATTTTTATGATGGCTGTCTTTCGTAAACAGACGTGTTAATTTGGGGTTGCTTCCCAATTCACTCATTAAATCGTCAATAATAAATAACCACAGCATTAGAAATATCTTGGATATTCGAGGGAAGTACTTCCACTAATGTAACTCCTCGTATTTCGTCATACAATTCTTGATATACACCATAATACCAAATAATTTGTGAAAGTAAAGGATAAATAATACGATGATGAATAATTTTCTTCACAAAATGGGTTTTCCCGCATCCTGTGGGGCCCGCAACGACACAGGTAAATGGATGTTTCAATGACGGAATCTCCATCTTAAAGAAGTTCATTACATAGAAACATAAATGTTATATCTAATAGCTGTTCATTTTAAGAAAACTAATAAATCCTTCATTCACCCATAATGACTACCTTGGAACCTGTTGCAACTCAACTCTTGCTGAGATCCGATGGCTGAGTGACGTCATCTTGAACTCTGAACTCTCGCTTAGAGATCACGAGAACTCGGGACTGAGAAGTCGCACGCTGCGTCGTGCGAACATTAAAACCTTTTCATTATGTAAATATTCTGTAACCGTTTGCGTCTTCATTAAATATGTTTGTGTTAAGAAAGTTTATCATTTATGGATTATCCCTTTCAAGATTTGCAGATAGAGTCCCTGAGAAGAATTGATCCAGTGGCCCTGGCCGAACCCATTGGAACAAGGTAAGCAGTTTTGTTTTACCTTGATTAATTAGTTAGAAGTAACGATAGGGATATAAATAACAAAATTGTGGCGCCATAACGTGGGGCCATTGGGTTGAATTTGAACTGAAATTTTAATAGATTTTGCTTAAGCAAAAACATGGATTTAGAAAAATTAAAAAAGAAACGATCTGCTATAAGAGCAGTAGTTACGAGGCTGATAAATAAGATAGAAACAGAAATTGCTAATGAGGGGGATAAAATGTAATTGAAGAAACGGTTGCTCAGTTAATTAGTAAAGAAGAAGAACTAATCTTAGCGGATAATGGTATTGAAGCTTTAATTGATGTAACAAATTTAGAAGATGAAATAATGTCTAGAGAAGAGTATAAAAGTAAAATTATTATTTGGAAATTACGCGCGAAAAGATATTTAGATACTAATCCACATAGCGCTAATTCTACTTCATATGGAAATGTCACTGAATCGCAGAACAAAATTAAACTCCCGAAATTGGCCCTGGAAACATTTTCGGGAAAGGACGTGTGCAGTTGGCCCGGGTTTTGGGCACGATTTGAGACAGCTGTACACGAAAACGAAAGTCTACATGCCGTAGATAAATTTAACTATTTAAAGTCAATTCTTAATTCCGATGCAGAAACTGCAATACAAGGGTTGACGTTAACAGCAGAGAATTATGAAAAGGCTGTGAAAATATTAAAAGATCGCTTCGGACGCAAAGAACTAATAATAGATACCCACATGAACAATTTATTAACTCTGACTCCGGTTAAAAGGTCTTGCGATGTGACAGCACTTCGAAAATTATATGATCGTTGTGAAGTACAAATTAGAGGATTAGAATCGTGTAATATTTTACCGGATTCGTACAGTACCTTATTGTATCCGATATTAATAAAGGTGATTCCGAATGATTTAGCACTAGAATTTAATAGGAAGTATGAAGATGATAATCAGACAAAAATTACGAATTTGCTCCATTTTCTAAGAAAAGAAATAGAAAGTCGAGAACGTACAGGATTTTTAATTAAGCCAACAGATTCTGAAGTCACTGAAAAGAAATCCCATTTTGAAAATAAGCGGCAGTTTGGAGAACGTTTTCGAGACAGCGAAAGAAATCGGGATTATAATAAGGGTAGAATTCCTTCAGCGGCAGCGTTAAACACATCACTATCTAATAGCTGTTTATTCTGTTCTGAAAATCATACGTCAGAATCATGTCAAAAAACTGTGCCAGAGAAAAAGGAAGCGTTAAAGCGAAGGGGTTTTTGTTTCGTGTGCCTCAAAAGATACCATTTAGCGAGGATGTGCAAATCGAAACTAACTTGTGATATTTGCGATCGACGACATCATACATTGATACACTCTGACGAAACGAATGCGTCAGACAAGAGTCCCGTCCAAGGGGCAGTAGTCTCTTCTGTTTCCGATTGCGCAACAGCAAATAACTCATTTCTTCTGACAGCACGAGCTGAAATTATAAACACAGGCAATTGGCGCCAGCAAAGCGTTCGCTTGTTGTTTGATTTAGGATCGCAGCGAACATTTATTAGAGAGGACATCTGTAAGAAATTAAAACTTCCCGTTATTGGAGAAGAAAAAATAAAAATATTCTCTTTCGGTTGCACGACGTCTGAAGCGCAGAATGTTAAAAAAACCAGGCTCATTTTGCGTAATTCGAAGAATCGATATGAAATCAAAATAGAAGCTTTAATTATTCCTGTCATTAATGGATCACATATTCATTCCCCTAGAAATGAAATAGTTAATCTTATTAAAAAACAGGGCATACAACTTTCCGATGAATGGGGACCAGGGAATAAACCGCCGAAAATTTCTTTGCTGATAGGAGCGGATTTTTATTGGAAAATAGTTACGGGTAAGGTTCACAGACTGTCTAATTCCTTAGTAGCGGTTGAAACAAAATTGGGTTGGACCATTAGTGGAACAGAAAGGGCTTACGGAATTTTCCCAACTAATGTGAATACTATGAAGGTTGTGGTTCATAATAATAAAGATACACAGAATAAATCACTGTCTAGTTTGCTGAAGAATCTCTGGGAGCTCGATTCTATGGGGATAAATTATGATTCGGATAAGGAACTCGAATTAGAAGATAATTTAGTTTTCGATAATTTCAAAAGATCTGTGAAATTTGAAAACAATCGTTATATTGTTTCGCCTTCCTGGAATCATAATTCAAATGAGCTTGGAGATAATCTGGAGATTGCTAAAATTAGATTTAAGAGTTTAAGTCGTAGATTTCAAAATAATCAACATTTCTATGACAGAAATCGCGAAGTAATTGATAAGTACGTAAAAGAAGGAATCGCCGAAGAGACTAACATTGAAAGTGGACCAAAAACGTATTTTATGCCACATCATCATTTATAAGAGAAAACAAGGAAACTACAAAACACCGTGTGGTTTTGACGCTTCGTCACATGCGGAGAATTGTTTGTCATTAAATGACTGTTTACATTCAGGTCCCTAAGATGTGTCCAGACATACTGGAATTGCTCCTTAAGTTCCGTCAAAATCGAATTGCGTTTACAGCTGACATCGAACAAGCATTCTTGCAGATTTCTCTTGCTGATGAAGACAGAAACGCAGTCAAGTTTCTATGGAACGATGGTGAATTAAATGGAACCAAAATAAAGGCTCTTCGTATGACAAGGGTAATTTTTGGAGCAACATCTAGTCCGTTTCTTCTCAGAGCAACTCTTAATGTACACGCTGACAAATACAAGTCACAGTATCCGAACGTATTTTCCATGCTAACTGAAAATATGTATGTTGACGACTTAATCGCTGGAGCAGATGAAGAATCAGAAGCATTCGAGGAATCGGAACATATTAAACGCATACTGAAAGAAGGTGGATTTAACATGCGGAAGTGGAAAACGAATGAAACGAATTTACAAAGGGTATGGAATGAAGAAGATTTTTCACACGATTCGACTTGTTCTAAAGTATTGGGATACATATGGAATAGGTCAAATGATACATTTTTGATAGAAATTGAAGATTTGGTAAAAGATGCCAAAAGGATAGATAACATACCAACTAAAAGGGAAATCTTGAGATTTGTAGGACGTTTCTTTGATCCACTGGGGTTTTTAAATCCATACACCATTCGAGCTAGGATTTTATTACAAGATTTATGGGAACAAAAGATAGCATGGGACACTGAAATACCAGAAAATCTCAGAAAGAATTGGCAAAGCTGGTGTGATGAATTAGCTCATATTTCTAGTTTGGAAATACCAAGACATCAGTTTGCAGGTGCTGGGAAAAGGGATATAAAGGATGGTTTACAGTTACACTGTTTCACAGATGCGAGTCAGAAGGCCTATGGGGCTGTTCTGTATTTTCGTTATTCGAAAAATGGAGTCATTCATACAAGTTTCATTACATCAAAATCACGAGTAGCACCTTTGAAAAAATTATCACTTCCCAGATTGGAATTGATGGGTGCTTTGATAGGCTCCCGCTTGTCAAAATATATCCAAAAGAAACTTCGGGACATTGATTTAATTGTATATATGTGGACTGATTCTAGTATTAACTATATGTGGACTGATTCTAGTATGACATTAACTGGATTAGAAGTGATGTGAAAAGGTGGAAGCCATTCGTTCAGAACAGAGTGAAAGGAAATACAGAAGAATTCAGATGTCTTGAACTGGAGATATACGCCTGGTGAACATAATCCAGCTGATTTGCTAACTAGAGGTGAAAATGTCAAACATCTGAAGCAGAATAGCATATGGTGGGAAGGGCCCACGTGGTTGAAAGAAGAAATGGAACACTGGCCAAAACCGAATTTATGTTCCACAAAGAACATTGAAGATTCCAACAAGGAACTAAGAAAAACATCAAAGGAAGTTTTCGTAAATGCATGCGTTACCGAACCTTCCGAAGATTTATTTAAAACCCAAAATTACAGCAATTTACACCGAATTTACCGAATTACTGCGTGGTGCTTAAGGTTCATCAACAATGTTAAAAATACCTCGAAATTATCAGGATGTTTGCAGGTTACCGAATTGGAAATGGCAGAAACTTATTGGATCAAACGTGTTCAGGAGCGAAATTTTTACAAATGAAATACGGGCATTGAAGAACAACGATGAATTAGGTTCAGAATCAAAACTGAAGGTCCCTCAGTCCATTTGTAGACGAAAGTGGTGTAATTCGTGTTGGTGGACGATTAGAAAATTCAAATTTGGATTACAAACAAGCACATCCAATCGTGTTGCCCGACAAAGATCATTTGACTGATCTAATTATTCTTCACAGTCATCAGGTGGTAGGGCACGGAGGAATAGCAGATACTTTAAATCAGATAAGAGATAAATTTTGGTTGCTGAAGGCTCGTCGAAAATTAAAAGTGTTCTGTACAATTGCAATGTCTGCAAGATATTTCGAACTAAACCTGTCATGCAAGATATGGCACCTCTCCACCAGACAGATGCCGAGAAGCCTTTCCATTTGAAGAACTCCGGGAATAGATTACGCAGGTCCACTGTACGTGAAAAGTGGAAAAGAATTATCTAAGACATACGTTTTACTGTTTTACCTGTGCTGTAACTAGAGCCGTGCATTTAGAACTTACGGCTGACCTTTCCACAGAAAAATTTTTGCTTGCATTTAGACGGTTCACATAGCGAGAAGAGGTTTGTGCCGAATAGTGTACACCGATAACGCCAAAACCTTTAAAAGAGCGAAAAAAGAATTAGAGCTATTGAACGAGGTGATGAAAAGCAATAAAGTTCAAGACGAGTTCTCTAAGCAAGGAATCAAATGGAAATTTATAGTTGAGAGGGCGGCATGGTGGGGAGGCTTTTGGGAGCGTATGGTTCAGTCTCTTAAAGCTCTTCTGAAGAGAATCTTAGGCAAATCATCCTTAACTTTCAGGGAATTAGAGACAGTCATAACAGAAGTGGAAGCTATATTGAACTCCAGACCTTTAACATTTACATACTCGGATCTAGGAGAGCCAGAATCTTTGACCCCTGGTCACTTCTTAATAGGAAGACGATTACTATCATTGCCACAAGGAAGCTCTAAATTAACTTCAACAAAGGAGAGTCTTACACGTCGATTTAGACATCAACAGATACTGGTAGAAAGAATCTGGCGAAAATGGAGGCAGGATTATTTGATGAATTTAAAATCTGCTCATCATTCCAAACTGGCTGGCGAAAACAGGAACCTATTTGAAGAAAGGAACTATTGTACATGAAGATAAAATTCCAAGGCTGATGTGGAAGATGGTCATCATAATGGAAATCTTTCCTGGAAGAGATGGCAAGGTGAGAGCCTGTGCTGTCCGCTTGCACAATGGACATACGATTAAAAGACCAGTGCAATTACTATATCCGGTGGAGCTGGAATGTAATAAGGACAATTACAGCAATTGTCCTTCCGGGCGGGAGGATGTTGCAACTCAACTCTTGCTGAGATCCGATGGCTGAGTGACGTCATCTTGAACTCTGAACTCTCGCTTAGAGATCACAAGAACTGGGGACTGAGAAGTCGCACGCTGCGTCGTGCGAACATTAAAACCATTTCATTATGTAAATATCCTGTAACCGTTTGCGTCTTTCATTAATATGGGTTTGTGTTAAAGAAAGTATTTATCATTTATGGATTATCCCCTTTCAAGATTTTGCAGATAGAGTCGCACTGAGACGAACTTGCAGCCCTAGTGGCCCTGGCCGAACTCATTGGAACAAGGTAAGCAGTTTTGTTTTACATTGATTAATTAGTTAGAAGTAACGATAGGATATAAATAACAAAAGAACCAATGAAATTCTAAAAAAAATATCTAAGCACATGCCTTTTTTCTATGACGTAGCATCTACCCTGCTCCCATCCACCTCCTGATAAGGCTCCCTGTCCCCATTTTCAGATAAGCATCCCTTCCACGGCTGACCCTTCCTTCTCGGGAGCTCCTTAAAGTTCCCGAGCTGGAACTCTCATTTTGCCTCTACTGAGGTTGTTCCTTTAATGAACTCTAATTTTAATTTGATATGTTTAGATATTGCGTTAAACCCCTTACACATGGTTGCAATTATTACTATTGTTGAGGAATTGCCTTGTTTTGATTCCAATTTAGTTTTAACTTTAAATTTTTTAGATGATATACATATGTGTAAGATAAAAAATATGGATGCAAACTTCTAATTCTTGTTTCTATAACCTGTTTTATATTTTACTTCATTGCTATATCTTAAAAATAGTTCTTTAAGTCTAAACTGCGTCATTCAAATTAATCATGCGATCTTACATAACGCTTAATGCAGATGTGTCTTGCCCAATCAAATAATTGTAAACTAAAACTTTTTCTAACTCGAACTGAAACTTTTGACTTTTTGCTATGTGTGTTCTTTGAGTGTCATCTTCCGTTGCAATTCTCATCAAGTCATCTTATTACAATAATAACGTTAGATTATCACAGTAATGGAGTAGTTATATTACATATATATACAGTATAAAGTCCGAAATCCGGACTAGTCGAGACTTCGGCGATTCCAAAATTTTCCGGATAATAGATCATCAATTTAAATCTGGTAAGATGGCATGCAGAAATTATACAATTAAAAATATGAAATCGTAATATATGAAATAAAGAAGAATTATAATCTAAAGGGTATCAAAATTTACAAGAAAAAGCTTACTATTTATTTGTTTACTTTTTTAAACATTTCTTTCAGTGGAAGTTGTTTAAGATTCTTCCACAAAAAATTCAAAAAGTTCCTTTTTCTTTTTTTCTTGTGTCATATACAGTGGACTTTCCAATGCCATACTCCTCACATAATTTTAAGACGAATATGCCTGTATGCATTTTTTGCAGCAATTCCACATTTTGTTTAATGGACTTCTAAACATGGTTTCGCTTTGTAGATCCCTTTTGTAACTCCAGAATTGGAAACTCTTTTCGACATAATCGAAAGTTCAAGCTTAGTTTTTATAAAATTGCCGTAATAATAACAGTCTGCAAAAAATAATAAGCTAGATCAAATTAGAAGATCAGGGAGCAGCACAGTCTGCTACATTAATGAAATGCCTTAGAATCAGTAAAGATAATTTTAGGCTAGCTCAATAGCGTCCGTTATACATTATTGGCTGTGTATCACAAGATTGGTTACGAAAGCCAAGTTGTTTCGCTATTTTTTGTCTTGCTCCTATTGCGTACTGAATTGTTTTAGTTTAGTTAATTACTATACCTACGTTTATTTCTTGCACATGCTTCAAACTAATCCGAGTCCTGAATTAAATAAACTCCCACATATACTTAAGGCTTTATCTAGGGCCGGCGCTCGATACCGCCTGGTGCAGTCTCTACGGGTCCTAAATTCTGCTACAAAGCGCTTTCCTAAATTCTAAATTTTCACCGTGCCTAAACTTTGGATCCCAGTGCTTTCCCTAAATCATAAATACTTCTCATCCCTTAATTTTGCCTCTCGGTGCTTCCCTCAAATTCCAAAAATTTCATTTTCCTAAATTCTGCAGTCCGGTGCCGATATATTCTGCCGCCGCTTCTGGGTTTATGGTGAATAACATATCAGTTATTCTTAATTAAAATAGCACTAAATGTAATCTTTTGGTCTATGGATTTCATTAACATAATCTGTTTTTAGCATATGAAAAGAAATTTTTGTTGAATTTTTCCTCGTCAACATTTCTTAGAGCATTTCAAAATCTATAATCATCGCCAAGTATAATGTTAGAATAAAAGGTTGCCATACCCTTGTTATTCAATTACTAATATAAAAAAGTTTAGACATCATAGCGTAAGTTATTACTGAAGCTATCATGTATTGATAAACATGCGGTGATGAAAGCAAAATATATAATAAATAATGAATCGACAAGTCGGCGTGAGGGATATAAAATAAGTGAATGTTTCAGTTTGACGGAGACATCATAACGGAGCCAAATTGTTGATATCACAAATTTATGCTTACATGATTGTTTTTCTATAATGAGGTATTTTATTTAGTGCCTAAGTGAAATTAAGAATCGGAATTTTTAAGTGAAAACCTCCACACGTTTTATTATGGAAGGAAAAATCAAATGCGCATGCGTAAAGCATTAATTAAAAAAATGTTTGTGCCTTTGAGGTCCGGATTTTAGATCATTCCGGATAATGGACGTTCGGATTTCGGACTTTGTACTGTATATATAAATGAAATGGTAAAACTATTATTCTATAAAGATCAATTAACCGTATTTATCAATTAGTATCAATTGTATTTAACACAATTAGAGAAACCTAAGTTATTCTCAATCGTATGAAATAAAAGTAGCAATTGGATAAAAACAAAATGGACACATATGGAATCAACTATTGTTAATAAATAATTAAAAATAGTTTTCAAAATTTAATTCTAAACGACCTGCTTTTACATATTGTAATTTTACTTAATGGAATTACAGTAATACTAAATACTAATACACTAATAACTAATGAATAATAAGTCAAATTGTCTAAATCAAATGATTTAACAAAAGGGTACAACATTTTGCTATTGTTCATTAGTCACTTCTAATGGATATAAAGCTTGAATGGATTTTCTATACAGCCCCTTTGTACATTTTGACAACACATGTATGTCTACCCTTCCAGGTAACAGTTCTTGAATGATTCCTAAATTCCCTAGAAATTTGGTCTTGTATTTCTTCTATCTTTATATCTTTGGAAGCCATAGGAGTCTTAAAATGAGGCATGATGATGCAGCCTTAAAATGATATCCAGCAAATGCTGTTCTTTGCATTTCTTCCAAAGTTGTTTAAGTGGTTCATTCTGGTACATTTATCTCCATGTCAATGATTGTTTAGAAACTTTTTTTTATCTATTTTGACGAAATTTAAGGGATATTAAGTTCTTTTTCTCAAAATTAAGAAAGTGGAATGGAGTAAGTGGTTTAGGTTCATATATTGTGATTGTTTACAGACGTCAAAAATCTCGCTGTTTAAAACCATTTCTGTTTCTGCCAAACCTATTATTATTTCTTCAAACGCGAGAAGCGCTCATCCAAGTATTTACAAATTTTATGAGATGCTCATAACCCATGGAGCTTGTTCAACCATGAAATTTCCAAGTTATACCTAGAGTGACAGTGAAATTTAGAATCTTTTAAATTTTCTTAAAAATGTTGCATCTTTAAATTGGCTTTCTTAAACGCCTTTCTAAATAAATTACAGAGCAATTTCCTCTTTTGGCAACAATTCTTCCAAAAGCCAATAAAAACATTTTGCCGAGAGTTTTATCACCAGATCTAAGCGAATTGTCCTTATTATTTACATGCGAACAACACCCAGTGTACGATTTTTCAGTTTCTATGCCACCCTTTACCTAAATAGGGCCCGCAAAATCAAATCCACTGATGTCAAATGGAGGCATATCTGAAATTCGATCTTTGGGTAGTGGAGCTGTTATTTCATCTGTGGATTTCACAGCATATTTTTTACATATCGAACATTTTTCAATGACTCTCTTTATCAGTTGTCGACCTTTAGGAATCCAGTATTTTGTTCTTGCTTTTACTGAAGTCGTGGCAATGCAATCATGGATTACTCTCTCATGTTCTCGCTTTACTAGTTTTAAAGCTCTGTGAATTTTGAGCTCTTGTGAAGTAGGATAGGATGTTTTTCACTAAAGGAGAGTTAAGATTTGTCGAATCTTCCTTTGACACAAAGAATTTTTTTTTTACAATCTAAAAAGGATGCTAAAGTATACATACTGGAAACAGCTTTAATTTCAAGATTATCAAATTCAATAATTTTGAACTTTTAAAATTGTGCTTGTACATCCCGAATCAAATACCCATATGCCGTTTGAATCTCTTTGGAATTAAGTGCTTCCTTTCACATAACAGAATTTCTAGCATTGAATACATATCTCAAAATGAAAGAAGTGAGTCTCAATGATTTAGTTAAATGATTAAATTTAGTTAAATGATTTAGTTCAATGATTAAACTACTAAATCAAGTTACGTCCAATAACATCTGTTTGGACTCTAGGGAGCAAACATTCTGCCTGGTGCATTTACTTCTCAGTTCTAAACCTTGGTCACTCAGACGGAATCTGTCAACTTGAAGCCAGTAATGCATAGTTTGTCATAGCCAAACTAAACCTTGCCACCAAACTTCCTGTTTGAATTTTTCAACTGATGCTCCTTGTGAGAGAATGTCAGCTGAGTTTTCTTTCCCTAGGCAATGAGCCCAGTTAGAAGG